TGTCCCGAGAGACTCTGGTGCCCAGCACCCGCCTGACCTCTGCCTGCCTCTGGGCGCGAGCTCCACCATTCCTAGCCCGCCTGTCTGACTACTGCACAGGTAGCCGGCCTGCACGGGAGATGGCCTCACAGCAGGCGCAACTGAGCCAGAATCCTGACCACCCTCAAGCAGCTGTCGCCCGGCGGCCGGCACAGGCGGCACACAGGCAAGACTGAGACTCAGGGCGCTCCCACCGATTCAGACCCAAGAGGAGGTCTGAAGGTCAGCACTTACACAGATTGTCTTAGCTACCTTTCTCCCCTTGCTGGGACAAATTACCCAGCACCCCAAATTAAAGAAGGAACTGTTTGTTTAGCTCATGGTCTGTGGAGGTTTCAGCCCATACTTGCCTGGCTCTGAGGCAGAGTCACACATGGCCGAGAGCAACAATTCATGATGGCAAAAAACAGCAAAAGCAACAAGAGTGTAAGGAGAGATCAAGCCTCTTTTCCTCCCTTATATTGTAACCTGGCTACTCCCCAGCCCACCCCAGGTGGGGGTAGCACCCACACCATCTCCATGCCCTCCTCCTGCACAGGCTCAGGATGCTTACAAAGTGAGGACTCTGGCCCCTTCTAAACTTCTCAAGTTGACACAATGAACAACCTCCTAGAGCCCTAAGGGCACTTCCTCTCTACCCAGGATGTAGAACTGCTGACTTAAGTTTCTAGACTTCCCAAGTTGACACAATGTATCAGCCATAACATACCTATAGCATCATAGAGAGTATTTATTATTTTTATTTTTTTTATTTTATGTATTTAGTACAGGGTCTATAGGGTCTCACTACACAGATCAGACTCAGTGATTCTCCTGTTTTCAGCCTCCCAAGCACTGGATTACAAGTGCATGCCACCACACCCAGTTTCAATTGCCATCTCAGCGCTGGGGGTGGGGCCAGCGTGGCACACCATGGATCAAACCCGGTCCCTGTGTCTGCCTAAGCAGGCGCTTTAATCCACTAAGCCATCTGGCTGGCCTCCTTATAATATTTTGCATAGTATATGTGTATGTGTGTATAATATATTGTCTATGTATATGATGTATCTATGTGTGTAGATGCACATGTGATGTACTATATGTTACATATTAAATATACATGGAGTATATGTTGTATTAGACATATAAAATATCTACATAATTCTGCAAGTGGACCCTAGGGCCTGGTGTCTTCTAGACACGTGCTCTACCACTGAGCTGTGTCCTACAGACTCAGAAATGATACTTCTGTGCATATGTATCTATGCTTTAAAAGAAAGATGGCACATGTCTATAGTCATAGCACTCAGAGGCTGAGGCAGGAGGATTGCCATGAGTTCGAGGCCACCCTGGGCTATATAGTGAAGCTGCGTCTCAAAAACCAAACAACAACTACATAAAGAAAAGACAAAAGATTCCATATCCCTCTCCCTCCCAGGAGCCCTGAGGAAGACCTTTAATTATCCAACACACTCCCTGTGGGTTGGGTTCTCCCAGCTTCCTTGAGGCCCACAGGGACCCCACAATCCTGGCATCCCCCACGCTCCTGGGGTGGCTCCTGTCTCCAAGGCCCCACTCCCTGGCTGTTAATTGTTGATGATGGGACACAAAGGGAGATGACAGCAGCCTAGTGACGCAACCTCATCCAGGACTTCTGTCCCTACGGCATGCTTCTCAGCAACTCATGGGACCGAGGCAACAGCTCCCAACATGCAGCACAGACACCGAAGAGTTTGGCGCTCGACGCAGTCCCTGGCAAAGGCCAGACATCTTGGGTCCTCTCTGAGCTGGGTCCGCAATAGTGAATCCTGACACTGTGCTCAGAGGTACAAACAGGTAACCTCGGGGAGGGGACGGGGGGGGCAAGGCAGGGTGTGCTCAGATCTGCTGCTGGGCCAAGAGCACCCAGGACTTGGAACCAATTGGGGAGAGAGTCCTGTAGTGACCCCCTCTAAGACATGCACTCCTCAAGTCACTAAGCTGGCCAGGCTGGGCTCAAATGCTCAGTCCTCCCGCCTCAGCCTCCCAGCATGCTGGGATGAGCAGCTGGGATCACAGGTGAGCACCACCATGCCTGGCTGAGGAGCAAACCTGAGGAGCAGGTTTTTTGAAGAGGAAGTACTTTGCCCTCAGTCTCTCAGTCCTCAGAGGCCGAGCTAGCAAAGCGCCTGTGTGTGACTCTTAAGGGGCTTGGAAGCATCCTTGCCTCCACTGGGCTCTGTCCCAGAAAAGAATACTGAAGATCAGCATTCACAGCTGCTCTTGGTTTCAAGGCACATCTCCTCCAGCTTGGGTACAGCCACCTCTATCCATCAGAATTCTTCTGTTTGTTTGTTTTGGAGACCAGGTCTCTGTGTAGCCCAGGCTGACCTTGAACTCACAGCATTGCTCTGCCTCAGCCTCTCAAGTGCTGGGATTAAGGCGTGTACCACCATGCCTGGCTCTCAGCTAAATGTGAAAGAAGTTAAAACATCTCAATGAGCCTGGGTCTCCAGCAGCTGGTGGAGAAAGGGCTCAGCTCCAGCCCAGGCCAAGAAGCTGAGCAGGCACATGCCTATTGTCCCCATCCTGGGGAGGCTGAGGCAGGAGGACCTAAGTTCAAGGCCAGCCTGGGCAGTTTAATGACCTAGCCAAACCTTGCCTGAAAAATGTGAAAGGACCAGAGATGCAGCTCCATGCAAGGGCCCTGGGTTCTATCCCCAGGACCACAGTGTGGTGGGGGGGAGAGGTCTGAAAATGCAGTTCTGACTACAAATCTCCAGTCTCGCACGGACGCAGCACACCTCTGCTAAGCCCAAGTCAGTGGGCTCTGGAGGAGCCGGGCACCATCCGCCCTCAGCACATCCAGCTGAGGTTTCCTGGCCTCTGAGGTGCACTCCCTCCCTGTGTCAGGAACCACGGTGAACCTGGATGCCATGAGGACAGCTGGCTCCTGGCGGTGTTCCTGCCCCCTGAAGTGGCACCAGGGACTAGCCCTTGTCCTGACCCAAGAAATGTCTGCAGAGCGTGGGGCAGCCCAAGAACCAAACCCAAGCCCAATGAAGCCACCCAGCCAGTCTGTTAGAGCCCAGGTTTCCTGTGTGCCAGTCAGAGCTCAGGACCAAGCTGCACCCAGCCTCACCCAGTGGGGCCTGCTGCCCTTCACAACATGAAGAGTAACGGCCCAAATCAGGGAGCTGCCACCTGGCAGGGCACCAGCTGAGCCCATCCCTTCACCTTCAGCCACTACAAAGGGCGGATGGGTAAGCTGAGTCATGAAAAGGTTGGACCAAAACCCCAAAGTGAGGGTGGAGCCAGGCTGGTATCCAAGCCTTGCTCTGGGGTAGCCCAGAATATGTCCCCCCCAGGTGCCACCAATGCCCTGCTCCTTCTCAGGGTGACCACTGCTGCCCATCTGAGAGGGCCGTGCCTGCCTTAGCTGCAGAACCACTTTGTGTCCCCACAGCCCCAGCTCCAAGGCAGAGTCACAACAAGAAGTATCCTCTGTCTCCCCCACACACCCTAAAGGACCCTTAGTCTCTCCTGGGACCTCCTATCAGACACCTGGGCTCCCACCCTGGGACCCAGGAAGAAGGGGTAGGCACAGGGGCACAGGACCCACACAGACCGGTCCTGCTCAGCTCTTGGCTCTGGGTCCGAGGTGCTATGTCTAATGCAACCTCTCCTAGAAAAGAAACCCAAAGTGCTGGGCATAGGGGTGCACACCTATTGCTCCAGCTCTGGAAGAGACTGAGGCAGGAGGATCCAAGTTCAAGGCCAGCCTGGATAACTACGCAGACATGGTCTGAGAAATAAAAACTTCTGAAAAGTAGGTTTCAGGGGCTTTGGTCAGCTGAGCACACACGCAGTGAGAAAGATCCCCAATGTAGCAAGTGTGCATGGAGGGGTGCTGTCCTGACCTGGCCTGGTGCCCCTCTTGCTGCTTTCAGAGGTCCTTTCTAGGTGACAGTGACCATGGAGCCTGGGCTTCCTAGAGCTCTGGGAGCCACTGGGGATTTGGCTGGGACAGTGTTGATTTGTCCCTTCCTTGCCCCGCTGCACTGTGCCCACTGGGCACAGGTGGCACTCAGCCTTTTGGGAACCCACCATGCCCATTCCTGCCTCGGAAGCCCTCCTCACCTTCCAGCCAGAAGCAGTCCCACCCCCTGCATCAAAGAACACGCAGGAGTGACAGGCGTGTGGCCCCCTCGGAAGGGCAGGGTGGGGTGGGTCCCATCAGCCGGGCTGCTTTGCCCTGTTTTGAGACTGTCTCTATGGTCCAAGCTGGCTTTGAGCCTTCGATGTGCCCCTCTCCCGGCCTCCCCTCGAGATCAGTGGATTGGCTTACCATCTGGGGCAGCCTCCCTGGTGCAGCCGCTTCAGACTGGTTCTGACCACACTCCCTAGGAGCTCTGGGCACAGCTTGCATCATCACAGTTTTGTGGGTGCTTGTACTTTTTCTCTTGAGAAGCATCTGTTCCCAACACTCACCCATTTTTTTACTGACTTACCTGCTCTTTTTTGGAGGGGGACTGCCTGTCCTCTTGGGGTGAAGCTCCATCAGTCCTGTGTCAGGTCCATGTCTGCAAAGGTCTCTCCCTGGCAGCCATCTCTTCACCTAGCTGCGTCCTCCACCATGCGTGCAGCCCTCCAAAGCTTAGTGCGCTCCCCATCAGCAATTCTCACCTTTCCTCCCCAGCTGTGCTTCTCCTTCCTCACCTGTGAATCCGGAAACAGCCTTCCTGCTCCTGGATGGAGCCTCCTGAGTAGCCTCTCTGCTGTCCCATCCTGGGCAGGGACCTGCGAGTCCGGCTCTGCCTGCGCTTCCGACGTGGACAGCAACAGCCACACGAACGACGGGCCCTGAGCCCTCCTGTCACCTCCTCTGCCTAGAGGGGCGGCTCTGAAGCCAGCGCAGCTGGCATGCAGGCAGAAGCACCCCGCTGAGACCCTCGCTGGCCAGGAACCCCGTCCTTCCCGCAGGTGACAGGGATCCCTGGAGGATGGGGAAGGAAAACCAGTCCACCACCTCAGACTTCACCCTCATGGGACTCTTCGGCCACACGGGGCCGCACCTGGTCCTGTTTGCCCTGGTGACCACCACGTTTGCCACAGGGCTGCTGGCCAACACCGTGCTGCTGGTGCTGACCTGGGTGGACCCCCGGCTGCGCACGCCCATGTACTTCCTGCTGGGCCACCTCGCCCTGCTGGACCTCGGCTTCCCGCTGGTCACCATCCCCAAGATGCTGGCTGACTTCCTGCGGGGGGACAGCACCATCTCCTTCGCGGGCTGCGCGGCCCAGATGTTCCTGCTCATGCTGCTGGGCGTCTCCGAGGGCGTCCTGCTGGCCCTCATGTCCTACGACCGCTACGTGGCTGTGTGCCATCCGCTGCACTACCCGGTGCTCATGCGGCGCCCTGTGTGCCTGCGCATAGTGGTTGCATCCTGGCTCTCAGGCGCGCTGGTGGCTTCGGTGCAGACCTCCGTCATCCTGCGCTTCCCGTTCTGCGCCTCGCGTGCCCTGGCCCACTTCATCTGCGAGCTGCCCGCCCTGCTGCGCCTGGCCTGCGCCCCCGGGGTGGCCGCCTACGAGCTGGCGCTGTCCGTCTCTGGGGTGCTGATCCTGCTCCTGCCCCTGGCGCTCATCGCCGCCTCCTACAGCCTGGTGCTAGGCGCCGTGCTCCGCATGCGCACGGCCCAGGCGCGGCGCAAGGCCCTGGCCACCTGCTCCTCGCACGCCGCTGTGGTGGGGCTCTTCTACGGGGCGGCCGTGTTCATGTACATGGTGCCCAGCCCCTACCACCACCCGCACCAGGACCACGCAGTCGCCCTCTGCTACAGCCTGCTGACGCCCTCGCTCAACCCCCTCATCTACAGCCTCAGGAACAGGGAGGTACGTGCAGCGCTGGCCGCGGCCACCCGCAGAACCGGCTGCAGGTTGCGGAAGTGACAGTAGGGGACCCTGGCTGGCTAAGGACCCTCTCAGACCAGGAAGGCAAGAGAATCTTCTACTCTGTAAATAAGAGGCCAACGAGGGCCGGCCCACCACTGCAGCTAGAGCGTCTCCCTGGCTCATAAGGCCCTGTGTCTGTCTGACCATAAGCACTGTAGCACTAATAACGACACTGGCGTCCCGAGCGCACGCTGGTTGGGCATCGGCTGCGATGAAAATTCCTCTTGCGCCTCTGCTGCTCTCAGCATTTTGCAGGCGAGTGGAAAAGTTGTGCTTGGTTTTACTCACCTGCAGGATTAAGCCAAAATGACTTGGATGTTTCCTGCCTTTCCACTGGACTTTGGCCCCTAGAACTCCCAAATCCAATAGCATCCCTGAACGCACAATGAACAAACCCGAAACCTAAAACAGAAATGGACTCAGGAGGCTGAGGCAGGAGGGTCCCAGATCCAAAGCCAACACAGGCAAATAGAGTGGTAACAAGAGCTGAGGTGCAGCTGGTGGGGGAGGTGGAGGGAGGAGCGTCCCGGCATGTGAAGGCCCTGGGCTCATCCCCAGCACACAAAGGGGGAGAGAGAGAGAGAGAGCCTCAGAAAAACCAGACCAGATCAGAAAGAAGGCAGAACCATGAAGCAGATGTGGGGAGAAGGCTAATGCCTGGCCGTGCAGGGGCCTCGGTGAGTCCTCACGCCGCTTCTCTTGGTTTGAAATATTTCTTTTTTTTTTTTTTTCCAGAACTGGGGATGGAACTCAGGCCCTTGTGCTTGCCAGGGAAGCGCTTATTCTATTTGGCCATCTCCCCAGCCCTGAAATATTTCAAACTGCAAAAATAATCAAAAGCACTAGTGTCACAGAGGTGTGTGGTCAGAGGCGTGCTTTCATTATAGGGACTCGATGTCAACTAGACTTGAAGGGACTTCTCATAGTCAAACCACCCATCTGTGCGTCCATCAGATGACCAGGTAAAGAAATGTTATGCTGAGCAGCGTGTGGTGCATGCCTGGCCTCCAGCACTCAGGAGCCTGAGGCAAGAGGGTTGTTTCAAGTCTCAGACCACCCTAAGCTCAAGGCCAACCTGAGCGCACAGCCAGACCCTGACTCAAAGAGACAGAGAAAGGGCTCCCAGATAGCTCAGCAGACTAAAGGATCTGCTCAGGCAAGCGCAGGGGAGCGGGGTTCGAGCCCTATGCCATGCAGGCTCCGCTGCCAGGTTGCACTGAGACCGCGCATGATGGCGTGCACTGTAATCTCAGCGCTTGGAAGGCTGAAAACAGACCACCTCCACCACCGCCGCCGCCCCCACCCACACCCCCACTGCCACTGCCGCCCCCACGAGCACCTCTGCTGCTGCCTTCCTGGGGGCCTTCACCACCTTTGTATCATCTAGGGCCTCCCCTCTGGGAAAAAGCAGTCCAGAGTTTGTTTCACGGGCCTGGGGCGCAGGCATGGCAGATAGCGCCAGCGGCGGGGAACGGGGGCAGGGGGGCAAGGAGCAGCAGGCCAGGCCTCGGCGGGCAGGGGTGGCGGCCCTATTAACCCAGCCAACCTTCCTCCTGGCCACCGCCAGCTCATCGCTGTTGTCATCATAGAGCAGCTGGAGAGCAGGGGCCTGTTTGACAGCTTCCGCAGGGACTGCCTGGCCAATGCGGACACCAAGCCAGCTTACCAAAACTTGAAGCAGAAAGTGGATAATTTTGTGTTGGCACATCTGGACAAGCAAGAATGGAATCCTACAATGAACAAAAACCAATTGCGAAGTGGTCTGAGACGGAGTGGGGTTCAGTCAGGGATGTTGGAAGCGGGAGTGGACAGGATTATGTCTCAGGTGGTGGATCCAAAACTCAACCACATCTTCAGGCCGCAGATAGAACGAGCAATCCATGAGTTCCTGGAAGCCAAGAAAAAGGAAGCTGTGCCAGCACCCCCTCCAGAGCCTGACAGCCAGGGACCCCTGCTCTGTCCCAAGATACTTCCTAAGGTCTGACACCTTTTGAAAGCTCCATTTAATTCATGGTGAAGAAATGGATTCCTGTTACTTAAGGATCACCACCGATGGACTTCAAGGTCTCTGCTTTGACCGTGCTGCAGGGTCCAGATGGACCAGGGAGCAATCTGGCAGGGAGAAGGTTGTTCATGCAGCCCTGAGCTGTGCCACGGCTTGACCAGCTCATCCAGGGGTGTGACATGCAGTAGCCACTACAGAATGGTAAACGCCATAGCAACCTACCATGGTCCTGAAACAAACTTTCACACTTGAACATGGAGACTGCGCATGGGTTTTAGAGTCTGCAGTCTGGGATCCACAGAAGCTGTAATGAAGAACCTAGTCTGAAAGACAACTTCAGAGAATAAGGACAGTACACTCACCTGGGAGGAGGTGTTTGACAGTGCTTACTTGTCACTGTATCAGCAAGTGACATGGATAGCCTTATCATTGTTGTGACCTTCTTGGGCATGAATCCTCTAGTCAGCTTCCTTTCCCGTGTCAGAGGTGACAAAACATGCAACTGGTGAGTGACAAGGAAGCCAGACAATAGGTGTAACCACTTTCTGCCTCTGGCAAGTCTTAGAAGTTTCCTGTTCTCATGGTTGCATTTTTTTTTAGGAAAGTGAATGATCAATAAATGATGTTTTGTAATAAAATCATTTGATGCACCAAAAAAAGGCTGAAAACAGGAGGATCACTATGAGTTCAATATGTGCAGTGAGACCCTATAGACCCTGTGCTAAATACATTTTTTTTAAAAAGACAAAAAAAAAAAAAAGAAGGGCAGTATTTGATTTTTTTTTTTTTTTCAGAACCGGGGATTGAACTCAGGCCCTTGCGCTTGCCAGGGAAGCGCTTATTCCACTGAGCCATCTCCCCGGCCCCAGAAGGGCAGTTTTGAGTACAAGGCAGTACTACTCTGCCATGAAGAAGGGCAGGCTCTAGTCATCTGCGGGGAAATGGGTGCGGCTGGAGCCTGCAGTATTCAGAGGAAGAAATCAGACACACAAGCTTAGATTTCACGCACTCTCACTTATATGCAGAAGCCAAAGTACAAGGAAGAGCAAAGGAAAAGATATGCAGTAAGAAACACGGAGACCTTCCCTGAGAAGAAAGAGGAGGAGAGTGGGAGGGAGGGCAGGAAGGGGTGAAAAGCAAGACGTGGCCCGCGCATGGCCTGCTCCGCACAAGGACTGCGACCCTTACATATTGCAAGCATGCACTGATAGAAGTTTTAAAATAAATATATAAAGCTGCCTGTGGTGGGCACCCCTGTGATCCCCTGCTACTGTGACCCCAGCCCTCGGGAGATGAGGCAGGAGGCTCACTGCGAGTCCGGGACCAGCCTGCGCTACAAAGTGAGCTCAAGGCCAGCCTGACCTGGATAGAGACCCTGTCTCAAAAAGACGATAAATAAATAAAATATAAGGGTCCTTTCAAGCATATATTACTACATCTATTGCACGTAACAAAACCAGGAATAAATAGCACGGCTGGGTGTACAGCTCTGCACGGAGAGCAGGCAGGGGTCCTGGGCGCTTCTCGGCTAGGTAAGAGCCAGAGGGGCAAAGGCGGCGTGGGCCGGCTGACCTCCGCCCAGCGCGAGTCCGGGTGTCCTGCAGGGGGCGACTGTGGGGCGGAGCTGAAAGCCCGGCCTGAGGATGTGGCCTTGTTTTCAGCTTTCAGGAGGGTTTCCCGGTCCGGCCGCCAGGGGGCGCGAGTGCCTCGCAGCCCGCGGAGTGCAGCTGCCCTTCCTCCCACCACCAGGCTCCAGGGCGGCCAAAGACTTTTCAGATGCCGAGCTCATCTTATTTGTCTCTGTCTGTCTGTCTGTCTGTCTGTCTGTCTGTCTGTCTGTCGATGTCTATGTTTTGTCTCACTTTTGTATTGCTCAGGCTGAAATCCTTGGGCTCAGGCAATACTCCTGCCCCAGCCTCCCAAGCCTATGGGCACTCACCCCGGTGCCCGGCTTCCCCCCCGCCTTTCCAGACAGGGTATCCCTAAGTAGCTAAATTACCCAGGCAGTGCTTGAACTTAGGTTCCACCAGCCTCAGCCTCCTGCCTGAGCTCCGCTTGGGACGGCCTCAGCGTCCAAGGGAGGCTGAAGGGGGTCACAGGACAAGGGACAGGGTGGACGCAAGAGTCTAGCACAAGTGACCCCTGCAGGCCCCTGAGGGTACCCTGTTAATTCTCAGCGCACTGATCTAAGAAAGTGTTCATCCCCGCAGGAGCCCAGAGCCCAGAGCTCTTCTTATGTTCCTGAGACTGGGCATGGTGGCTTGCGCTATGATCCCAGTTCTTGGAAGGCTGAACACAGACAGATCACTGAGTCTGATCTACCTAGTGAGACCCTTTACACCCTGTACTAAGATACAAAAAAAGAAAAAGGTTCCCTGGTCACACCTCCCAGTATGCCCCAGTGGGAAACCAGGTGTGGTGGCCTCCACCCAAAGTCCCCGCTACTCAGGAGGCTGAGGCAGGAGAATCTCTTGAGCGCAGGAGGCCAGGCCCGGCAACACAGTAGACCCAGCCTAGGAGTCAGGGTATGTGTGTAGAATGCATGAAGGAGCGTATACTATGCAGTACTCTATATTTCTGAGATGACATCAACCATTACGGAGACTCAGTGCCAACTAGGCTTGAGGGAACTTCTCATATCCAAACTACCCAATCCAGTTGTGGGAGTGAAATCGGCTCAGACTTCTGTCCGCACTCACCAGAGCCCAGCCAGGCCAAAGCAAGCCCGGGTTTGCAGCTGGGCAAAGCCAGGCCCAGGCGGAGCGGGGGAGGGACTACATCCTGGGGGGAGCAGGAGCACACACACGTGTGAACACACACGGGGCAACGCCACGGGGTACCCACTGCAGACGGGGTGAAAATAATAAGCAAGTGCTATAAGGGACCAGGGAGGCTGAGGAGGTTGCCCCGGGCCCTTAGGGGGCCCATTGTATGTGGTGGGGATGTGGGAGGCACAGGGGCTCCCATCAGGGACAGAGCCAAAGAAGAGTAC